GTGATGTGTTGTGACCGCACGATGTGTGACAGTCTAGAAAATTCTGCCCAGATCCCTGGTAATGCCGTGCCTACCCCCACCTGCCCTTGGCCTTGCCTGCGAGATGAGAGATTACAACCTGGGCTTTAAGGGAAATGCACTTACAGGCTTTTTTTACCCCCTACCCGGCTGTAGGATGCTGCTTATGACAAACCCGAGCAAGGTGCAAACCAACACAGCTACTACTCCGATGTCAATCCCCAGCATGCCGGGACGGTGGATAACCACAAGCCCCGCTCCTCGAACCCCAAGGTGCAGTACAGCGCCCAGCCCCAGATGTACGACGGCGCCTCTCGGAAGCTTTTGGCTGGGAACCGGGAGGCCGGCTTCAAACCGGGTGACCGGCCTTCGACAAATTCTGCAGCCGTCCAGCCAGAGATTCAGAGGATCCTCCACGTTATGGGGGAGGCAGAGGAGCTGGAGCGAGAGGTGGATGAGTTTGTAGGAAAAAAGACAGATAAATCCTACCGGCTTCTGGAGGAGATGTTGACCAAGCTGCTGTTGGAACTGGATTCCATCGAGACTGGTGGCCAGGACAGTGTTCGGCAGGCCAGGAAAGAGTCCGTCCACAGAATTCAGGCCATACTGGAAGAACTGGAAAGAAAAGGATTGTGAAAGCACATCAGCCACAACACACGGCCTGTTGTTGAGGTTCCAAAGAGTTTCAGTTCTACTAAATTTCAGTTCTTTCTGCTACGCACTCTTGACAATGGAATAGCAATAAGCCCTGAGTTAAAAAAAAACACAAAGCAAAACAAAACCACAAAAAACCTGCCCTGGAAGTGCAGCCCCAACGAATAACCTGGTAACAGACAAATTAAGAGAGGTTTGAAGCAGCAAACCAAGTTGTTTGTTCCAGGCTTTGGGAAAGCAGAACCACCTGAGGTCCTTACGCTGTAGAAGCCTCCGTGGGGGTCCCCATCCTCTTCGTCGGCAGGAAGAAAATCGCTGTGCGGAGTTGCCCAGACCAGCGGGAACCTCCTGCAGCCACAGCACTTCTCTGAGCCGCCGGGACACTTGCCAGGTGTGGTCACAACGGCGCCGCGACATGCAGCCACTAAACGAGACTCTGGGCTCGTCAGTCACTGCCTGCGTTTGCCTCAGCTTCCTCGCCGTCGGGTTTTGTTTGGTTTTAGTGCACTCAAGCAGCGACGCTGAAGTGCTGCAGAGAGGGACCATGCTGGCAGCTCGTCAGCGCGAGCAGACATCGTGCCGTGCTGCTCCTCGGTCACACGGAGCCCGTCCGACACGGGAACGCAGCCTGGAAGTCTCCGTTCTGCCACTTGAAAAGGAGAGGTACAAGCAGAGGAACGATGTCAGAGCGGTGCAACCCAAACCAGCAGGACGCTTGGAAAGCTTCCCAGGTCAACAGTAAAAAATGCTCGTTTTAACTGCAGTGTCCTTCCACGTCCTGCCCGCTCGGTGTCCCGCGGCAGAGGCCGCGCTCGTGGCACTGTCCCATGCAGAGGGGAACGGCTCAGCCCGTTACCTCCTGGTTACAACACGTTAATGAATCATTACTGTGAGTGATGAGATAATAAACCCTGACAACTTTTAAACGTTATTTTGTAATGAAGACGTCTCGAAGTCTCTTTTCTTTTACAAGAAGTTGTGTGCAAGGGTGTCTAAGTCAGACCTGCCTGTAGCCAGGACACTGGCCCGGCCATCTCAGCGGCTGAGGGAGGGACAGATGCAACAAATGACCTCTGAGAATGCTTGTTTTGGGGTGCTGGGGCGCTCCCAGGCAGTGCAGCTCCTCCAGGGGCCCTCAGCTGTGGCTCTAGGGCCGGCGGCCGTGGTTTGGAAGGGGTCTGCAAGGGGTCCTGGCGTGCCCGAGGCAGGGAGTGCCCCAATTCAGCTCTGGGGGCTGGCGCCGGCCCGTGTCCTGAAGGTCCCACATCATTCCCCGCGGGGGCTGCGCACATGGGACTGACCTTTGCAGCTCGTGGGATGTGTCCGTGGTTGCACGTGGCCGCGGCGAGCCAGGAAAGAGGTGGGTGTCCTGGGACGGGCAAATGCTTCGTTGCTATTTCATTCTGTCCTTTCGACAGGCAGAGAGCAGCCAAGCCAAGCTCTCTGTGCTTCGGATGTGGCACGAAGTCAGAATTCCGAGCATCGGGGGCTCTGTGGGGAGTTGAAGCAGGTCACAATAACCAGAGTGATGCCCTGTTACTGCACTGCCCCCAGACAGGGGCAGGACTGAGCTCTGAAACCACCCGTACCTGGCTCTGGGGAGCAACTTTCTGCTGGAGGTGGATGCACATTCGATCCCTGTATTGCGTGGAGCGGAGCCAGCCCTGATGACAAGTGAGTGCCCGCCCTGCCGCGTCGCTCTCTGGCCGTTCCAGGTCCCACACCAGGTCCAGGGCACGGTGTCACCATATTCATGCTCTCCAGCGAGTTACCAAAGAGCTCGTTTCTTCCTCTGTTACCACATCTGGTTTTTCACTTGGTTGGCACGACCGTTGAAACAAGGGCTTGTGTTCCCTTCATGCAGATCTAGCCAAAGTCTGAAACATGTTGTGGCAAGAGATTGTGTAAGTCCCACTTCAGCAGAGAAAGTGAGCTCAGCTCGTCGCCTGGTGTGTGTTGACTTCTAGGCCGGAGAGCTGCCGCGGCCGTGAGGGACAGCTCGTGGCTGTGAAGGACAGCTCGCGGTGTGGGCAGCCCTCTGAGCAGCAGGGTCTCCCCCTGCTTTGCCAAATCAACCCCTTTATAAAAACACACCAAGAGCTGCAGCCGAGCTGTGACCCTGCACATGGCCCCGAGAGCCGCTCCGGGAGCGCAGTGGCCACCAGCCTCCCTGCGCCGACGGGCTCCCACAGCTCCCGTTGCCGCTGTCACTCCAGCGAGGTGACAACAGACAGACGGGGTGCTGAGGTGTCAGCCCCGCTGCTTTTCTGAGGGAGCGGTGTTGTCAGTGGGAGTGCTGCAGCAAGTCACTGCTTACACCTACGTGGAAAGAAGCAGCCGGCTCCAAGAGGTCCAGAATCCGGGGAGCTGGCCTGGACTTGGTTTTCTTCATCAGTAGCAAGAATTGCAAGAATTGCATCGGGAAGAAAAGTGCATTGTGCCCCGTTTGCTCTAATCCTCACACCCCTGCCAGCTGCCAGAGGTAAGCAGGTTCTAGCCGTGCAAGGAGGAGTGTGGAGCAATCCTGATACCTTGCGAACTCAATAGCACTGCAATGCAGTCAGTGAGGAGAGGAGAAAAAAACACGTGGGCTCAGCTGCTGTATCACCAGTGCTCCGTGGCCAGGGACAAAGGTCTCCTGCTGTGGAGCCATGGTAAGAATGAGACCTTTATCTGCTCATCAGAGAAGCAGAAAGCACGTGTGTGTCATTCGGGCCAGACAAAACCCGGGAGGAAGGAGGGAGGTGGGTCTCTTCTTGGGTGTTTTGGTGCTGAACCTGTCAAGGTAACCCATTCCTTCATAATATTTCCTCTTCCGGAGTTTAAGTCCCTGCGTGTGGGAAGGACTTGGCAGAGGGTTACGTAAACCTCTAGTTAAAAGCACATGAAAGAACATTTAAAAATGGGCTGAGGCGGCAGGTTATCATTTCAGCAGGGCCGTTGTTCGAACAGCTCTATGAGAAGATGTGGCTGCGTGTGATGTTTCTGCATCCCTCAGGCAGGTGGTGGCTTCATGTGTTTCCCCCAAAGCCGAGCAGGGGTTGGGACGTACCTTCCATTCTGCAGCCCGCAGAAAACCCCCGCTGACACAACCGCATCTGTCCCCGCTGCCGCCCGTCTCCTTCAGAGGGGGACCAAAGTGGGTCACGGCTCGGACGGCGATCTGGAAGGAGAAAGATGCTGCAGCGGTGGCGCGGGCCCCACGCAGGCTGCAGGGGCAAGGTTTGGTTCGCAGCCGTTTGCTCTGCAGGTGCAGAGCTGAGGATCTGAGCACGTCTGGCCCTTCAGCCTTCCCAGGCAGTAACTGCTGTGCTGGAGGTGAGTGCCGGGGTGACAATTCCTGGCAAAGGTTTTA